AAGGGAAAAAGACCCTATTCAATAGAGAAAAGGAGCTCAAGTGTGGACAACTAAAGTGCTAGCTGTCAGTTGTTGCAGACAAAGGATTTCTGGGGGTACAAATCTGGGAGCACAGGCAGGGTACATAAGAAATTTTACCCCAGTACAGCAAGTCAAAGAACTCAAGCATAGACTGTTAAAGTAGATTATAAACCCAACCACTAAAATGTCTAAACTTTAACAGTCGGCAGTAGTGATACAGGAGAGTCCTGCATGGATGCATTTTTAAAACAATCGTGACAGCTAGCATAGGGAGAAGATCCCCGCTAGCTGTCAAAGGGGGATCGGGGGTGGGGGTGCAGAGGTCAGTCTGTTCAAAACATGTCACATGTTACACCCTGGATATGGGTACAACATGTTACAAAAGGTGTCCCTTTCAGAACTTGAGCCTCCCAATTTCCCTTCGTAAACAGAGTAGAATTTAACAAATTAGCCTTCTCCATGGCCTCAGCAATTCAAAATTATCTAGTAAAGGGCCTACAGGCTCAGATTTTACCTTCTTACTGTTAATATATATAGAATTTTTTTTTTGGGGGGGGGGGGGTTGTCCTACTCCCTTTTGCAACCCATCATTCATTTAAATTTTTTGCAACCTTGATCTCCTTTCTCCTTTTTACATATTGTTATATTCTTTATAAAACTCTTAAAATGATGATGGCATTTGTTCAATTTTATATTTTTTACAAGCTCTTTTCACATTTATAGCCATTTTAACTTTGGACATGAGCCACATAAGTTTTATTTTTAGCTATTTAAACACATAGCCCATGGGAATATGGTTTTCAGTGTTTGCATATTGTCAATTAAAGCATTCCCATTGCTGTTTTGTGTTCTTTACTGACAACATTCCTCCCCAGTCTAAATCTTGGGGAGGAGCCCTCGGAAAATTTGCTCTTTTAAAAATAAGTGTTTTCTTCCTTTCCAGTATGCACTTGTTTAAAGATGCCATTTGTTCCCCATCTCTGAGACAATCAGTGACCTTGTGGATTCCATACAGATTTTTGGAATATGAAGGAATTTGTTGAGGGATTTTAAGACCAGGATAGGATGGATACCTCGGTTTGGCTTTGGCACCATGAACAGGATTTGGTAGAATTCCTTGAACCAGTCCTGTGGCAGTACTGGAACAACAGTTTACTGGGACAAGAGGGAGATCAGGACCCTTTGCAAGTCTGACTTGTCCTTGGTCGTTTTGTGTTTTATAAGCAGAAAGCAGTGAGGTGGTAGCGTTTTGAATTGCATCTTGTACCCTTTTGAAACAGATTGAACCCACAGATCATCTGTGACCCACAAAGATGAAAAATGTAAACAGATGTCCCCCACCACTCTTAGGAGTGAGAGCACCCCTACATTGCAAAGAGGGTTATGGAGAGGACTTGTGCCAAAAGATCTTAAGTTCAGATGTTGCAGCCTGGGTGGAGGCACTCTTCATTTAAAGAAGCTAGGACTCCTGAGGTGGGGAGTTTTGACATCTTTGGAGTAAGCAAAACGTTCCTTTCAATACCAGTTTGATGAATTGGTCAAGTGTCGCACCAGACATCAATCATGAAAGGGCATAGGTTTGAGGCATCTTTCCCAGGGAACTTCTGCTGTCCAAGGCTTCAGTCTGAGGATTCTGCACATGACAATTTAAAAAAAAAAAAAAAAAAAAAAAAAAAAAAAAAAAAAGGGGGGGGGGGGGGGGGGGGGGGGGGGGGGGGGGGGAAGCAGAAGGTAGTTGTAACTTCTCTAACTGTATGATCCTGAAAGACAGGATTGTGTTAGTCTTTGTCCTATTTCAGTTAGCAGAAAGAGCTGAGCCTGCCAGGTTCAAAGAGGGGACTGAGCATCTCATTTTCAACTGGGTAGAGAAAAGATTTTTAGGGAAGCAAAAACCAATCCAGGAGTGACTCAATCATCAAAAGGCTGCACATTCTATTGGTTCATGAACTGGGAACATTTTGTGGGTCTCCTCATGCAGAAGGGGGTATAGTGAGAGTCAACCTGCACTACACCAAGGCTTTTCTGGACAGAGGTAGTGAACTTTCCAGTGCATGCATGTTTTGTAACTACTATAAAGGGCTCAATGTGAAAGTGAGATTGAAGTGTGTGGCCAGTGGTATAACTCCTGGTCACCCACCCAATACTGAGCTGAAGGTTTGAATTTTAGCACCAAATGTGAAAAGGTTAACCTAGTGAAGTGAACACTTTCCAAGTATATTCCCGTTTTACATCAGAGATACAAGGCGACTGTTTATAGGGCCCATCTTTTGTGACATCTAAAAATCCAGCTTTTTAGCATCACTGTGGGCATAACACCCATCTCTCTCTCCCCCCCTCCCTCAAAAGGAGTCTTCAGGGAGTGGTGTCCATAGCAATAGATTATGTACACTTTATTTACGCATTCCTCCCCTTAGCCCTGGTTCACACCGATGAAACTTGTCATGCAATTTGACCAATCACATCCAATGATCGGCAATGGAACGCAATTCGTATGAGTCACGCCGATTTGAAAAAGTAGTTCCTGCACTACTTTTGCTGATTTCTGGTGCAACTCGCATAGACATCTGTGCATGATGTTGAAGATGTCTGCAAGTTGCACCCAAAGTCACATTGACATGACTTTGAAATCATGCAACTTCAAGAGAAGTCACACGATTTCTAAAATCGCATGCAGTGTGAAGAGTTAGTGGAAGGGGGGGGGGGGGGGGGGGGGAAGGGGGGGGGGGGGAACCCAAAAACAAACAAACACAAAAGCACGTTTGCCAGCACATGATTGGATGATGGAAGTCAACAGAGCTTTACTTCACTTGCAAAGCGAACAGTCGATTTGCCTTTCATAAAAATGAACCCCAATGTATTGGATGAAGTCTCTCAAATTAGCCTGTTTGATTGCATAGACTTTAAAATCACTATGTATAAATCTGTAAAAAAAAAAAAAAAAAAAAAACCTATGCATACACACACTACTCAAACTAAAATGCAACAAAAAGATATTTTTATTGTATTTAATACAAGTGAAATTAATAGATCTTAACTGTTATAAAGCAACATATAATGAATAAATAATATGCATGGAGATTCTTGTCTACAGTTACATAACACTGGCTAGTATTTTGAATACTTAAAAAGAAATCCAGTGACATTTAGACAAATGTCCATAAAATGCTGTCTTCTTCCCTTGTATGAAATAGTTCAAGTATAAAAACCCATTACAGTGTAAAATATTCATGTTTAAGTCAAGAATAAAAATTGCCAAGTATTGCAGTTTTACAAGTCACTGTATAAAGCAGCACTTTTCTATTAAAGAAAAAAAAATGAAAGACAATATCCTACATACAAATGAAATGTATAATATACTGCTTAAAGAGGTCTTCATTGAATGAATGAAAAAAGAAAAAAAAAAAAAAAAAATCTACTTATGTCATGTAAAATCCTAAAGTGTTATGGTAGGTATATTATTACAGTGCACATTCAGAATTTAAATAAATCCAAGTCAACTTTCAGTTGAATAGATTAATATTTACTACATCTAAACTTACTTAAATAATTTATACCATGAGATGAATACATAAGGTCTTTAACGCATCTAAAGTTCCCTTCTTTAGTGCGCACCATAGTAAAACTATCAAAATAAATAAATACCTTTCTGTCAATAAACATTACAAGTAAGGCACAGTACAATCCATTTTTTAATTGTAACCCTTAAAGAACTGCAACAGAAAAGTTGTACCCAACTTATAAATACTTTTATTTTATTTATTTATTTTTAAATACTTTGAACAGAGAAAGAAAATATCACCTACAACTCAGAAACGTGGGAACCCTTTTCTTTATAAAAAAAAGTGCAGTTCTTAAAGGGTTAACACCTCCGCAAGTATCTTCCTGTTGTCGTTCACAAGCTATGAATAGGTGTAATAAATAGAAGACTGTGGTAGTAAGGGGCTGATCCTATTTCAGAATCAGAATAGCTGACACCAGCAGTTAGAGTTTCCCAAAAGCGAAACAGGATGGGGAGAGGGATTAGAATGTGACAAGCTCATCAAATACGCACAAGTGATGTGTTCTCTCCAGAACGGTCTGTTATTGATTGTCTGTACAGCTGTTGCACCCGTTCATTCCGCACCACTTGTTCCATAGTTCCACTTATATAGAGGAAAGATGAGAAAATAGCTTTGGTGCCTATCCATTGTCATGTGACCAGTTGGCCATGTGCCTCCAACGCATCAATGCTAACTGCATGTTTCTCACCTACACAATTCAGTTGGTCAGTGTGAGAGTTACATGCATTTTGTGCTATGAACACTTTGCTTTGTACAGGCTACATATTGCTGATTGATATTTCCCTGGTTCAAACATTTGTAAAAGGAGGAAAAATATATTTCTCAGATTAATAAAAGGCAGTTTTTCCTGATGTAAAAATATATTATGTATAGTTTATAAATTCTGACATCTTTTCAGGAAAACAAACCACAGGAGTTCCTTAATGCCTGAAAATACACCTCAAAAGTAAGCTGGATGCATACTACATACAGAAGCTGGAATACTGTTATTTTTCTCTCCAAAAGAAGTTCCTTTCTTCTTAAAGCCATAGAGCCAAAGTTTGATATGGTCTCATCTATAGAAACTGGAAGGCTGAAAACAAAGAAAAAAAAAAAAAATAGTCGTTGAGAACTTCTTCAAAAGTCTAAGTGCTACTGCATTCGGTCAGCTTGCAGCTGTTGTGGCTGGTATTGGCCAAAGGCGGCAGCAGCTGCTGCAGCAGTTCCTGGAGCTGCAGCAGTAAGTGGCTGCTGAACTGCATAGCCATAGCCTGCGGTGGTCACGTATCCTGTGGCAGCTGGAGAAGCAGCGTAGGGGTATTGATCGTAGGCAGCAGCAGCAGCGGCGGCAGCAGCAGCAGAATACTGGGCATAGGCAGCCCCTGTGTAGTCAATGTATGGACTTGTAGAAGTGGCAGCTGTAGGTTGCACATGTGGAATTACCACTCCTGGTTGCACAAAAGCATGAGGGTACACGTAATGTGCAGGAATCCTGTGGAACCAAAATGGACAAAACACTTTAGTAAAACAAAATGCAAGGGTTAAAACAAAAATTGTTCACTGTGTTCAAATAATCCAAAATCAAATTTAGTGGTTATTATGTGCATAGGGTTGCCACAATAGAAAGATTTGCAATTTCTACAACTGGAAACAAGAAAAATGCTCACTTTGTGCAACAAAAATTAAAAAAAAACAAAAATGCATCTGGGTTTTTTTTTTTCTTAACGGTTGAGAATTTAGATTAACAAAATTAGACCAACTGTACCTCTAGTTAGGTTGTTTTTTTGGGATGTTAACTAGATCTGTCAAAAAAGATAACATTAACATTTCTTCACATCTAGCTATTTATCGTGGCAACCCTACCAGAAGTACTCTGCAGACTCAGCACACATTAATCTCTGCAACCTTAGTCACCCTTAAATAAAAAAGTAAAATAAAAAAATAAAATTGCAGGCGGAACAAAAACAAAAAAACAACAAACTTAAAAGTGGTGGAAGACACAGCAGAGTCACACATTCAAAACGGTGCAGAAAAACATTTATGATGCTGTAGTGTTGAAGCTTTTCAGATGCTATGCCACACTCCATAGCATAAGGTTTCAAATATGTGTGCATCACACTGTTACAAAGATGTAAAGGTCGAATTAAATACCCGTCAACTAAACATCCCGTTTCGATTCAGCTGGTCTACTTCTCATTCAGACAAATAAGTAATAGGAGTATTGTGAGGGTAACTATAGAAACCTAGGGTTAGACAAAAACACCTCTGTAGTTTAATGCATAGAACATAAATATATATATTTACTGGCTTAAATAGATTGAAGTTGATTCAGGACAGTAAAAAAACCCTCCTTCCATGGGAAGCCATTGCGGAATTTTATTCTGCATTGCACAAATTTAGGGTTTCTCTGTTCTCAAAACAAACAGTCGCTAAATATCATTTGTTTAGGATACATGAGGCACAAAGTTTTCGACCCAATTTCCATTTAGCACTCTATTCCTGTAAACTAGCATGTCTGGGAGACTGGAACATTAGGTTACATCAGAATTAGAGAAATCTCTAAAAAGGCAAGGTAACAAATGTACAAAAAAAAAAAAAAAACAAAAAAAAAACAAAAAAAAAAAAAAAGTCTTAAAATGGATTTACATTTTTTTTTCCCTCCTAAAACAAAGGGCCTATTGGCTCCAATTCTGCAGCTGTCTATCCATCTGGGGACAATTTTAATATTAAATAAGCAGGGATACTGCTTGTGCTCAGCTGAATCTTTCCTACTACTCAACTCTCCCTGCACAAGATTAGAATTTCTTTGCAATTGTAGGGCAAGGTGTGCATAAAATACAACCAAGTATCAAGGGGCATGTAAAATAAACAAATCCACATATTTGTATTCTGACTGGTTTGAGCGATGTATGGCCCTGCCCCACTGCTCCATTTAACAAGTTGATTGTTTCAAGCCAGAGGCAGCCACATTTTGGGTGTTCTGATAACCAGCTCCTGCAGCTGCCAGAAAACAGCCCAGCCGGGAGAATTCATCCACCACGTTGTTTGCATGGATGGAGAACCTTCCAGAAAGCAGGGAAAAAAAACAAAAAACAAAACAAATCACAAAATGTATTCAGTATTGCCAGCTTTGCTCTGTATTTGTCAATGTACATTTGTATGGGCCACAATAACACACTGCACTATAAAGGGATCATGGTTGAGACGGATTATGGCCATACATTACCCAAATCAGTATTTGAGGCGGTACACCATTTTAATTTTTTCTTCTAAAATTGCTACAACAGCGCTATAGTGGTGTGGTAAATTTGATGACATACAAGTTTGGGGATGTTAGTAGTTTAAGGAGAAAGCATGGCAGTTTGAGGTTGTTATACAGCCCTATAGTTGTTAGTGATCTAACACTACACATCTCATGTCGCTCTAACTGAAATACAAATGCATGGTGGAATAGTTAGATGCAAATCTAGTGACTTCAGGGCAGAACAATGGAGTTACATAGTATAAGTCACTGGAAACCACAGTAATAGGAATAGTTCTCAGATAAGACTGTTGAAACAGGTAGGCGATTAAAAAAAAAAAAAAAAAAAAAAAAACACTAAAAAGCTGAATGTGTTTACTGCTGCGGGGCTTCTAATGAACATTACTGATGAGGTCAGCGGTCACAGAATTATGATAGCACGGGTGTTTGGTCAAGGGTGTGCAGTCATCTGCAGAAATGGCCTGCTTTCTCAAGCACAGTATGTGTGGTAAAGCAAACTGAACAGTTGCTGTCCAAGACTTAAGCCTCATACACACGATGAGAAAAATCAGACGAATGATTGTCTTTTTCTGCATGCTAGTCTATCAAAAATTAAGAGGTTGCTAGTTACAAAAATTCTCAGAAAACAGAATACAACTTAGGAAGTCATGTAATGTATTCCATCATTATTGAGCTTGCATGGTCTTGGTAACTTTTTAATTTTTTTAAAACCACACACAGAATTGAATACTGTCCCTTCGGATAAGTTCCCACAAACTGACATAGCAGGCTCTTGAAAGCTGTGCACTAATCGAACAGATTATCAGACAACAGGTCCGAAAGTGGTATTTGTCTGAATTTTTCATAGTGTGTACTAGGCATCAGGCCAAGCAATAGAATCCAAGAGTATGGGCTCAGTTTTGGTTGAAAACAAGGAGCAAAAAAAAAAAAAAAAAAAAAAAAAAAAAAAACGAACTTGTGTTGCTATGTAAAAGGCAAATAGCAATGCACAAACTGCAGTTAGCTGCAGAGTTCAGCTTTTGTTAATCAGACGTAACAAATTGGCTGGTATATGCTGGTGCACAATTCTCATTACACTAACTTAAGAGTGTGTTTTAAAGTGGTAAAAGGTTTTTTTTTTTGGTTAAATGAACACAAACATGTCACAGTTACCTGCTCTGTGCAGCAGTTATGCACAGAGCAGCCCTGATACTCTTCTTTTTGGGTCCCCAGACAGAGCTCCTTGCTCCCCTACCTTGACCAGTGCTCCCTGCCAAGCCCTGCTGTTTGTCTATAAGAGCCATGGTTCCTTCTACTCTCCTCATTGACTTACAGGCTGTGATTGACAGCAGTGGAAGCCAATGGAGTCCCGGGACAGCCAAGGCTCTAATGTACATCGCTGGGAGGGGGCTGTGGTTGAGCAGCACAAAATGTTTACCTTCATGCATAGAATACATGAAGATGAAAAAACCTTCTGCCTTAAGAACCACTTTAATTAAAATGGTTGAAGAAAGTTTGTATCAACCTGTCAGATATATTCCTGTGCCTTTTATATGCCTACTTTTTTTGGTGCCACCAAATTCCATGAAAACTCTGGTGTATATAGGTTGCAGGATTTAGTAGAGCAAACAAGCTGCAAGACTTCATATACTGCTATACATTTAACTCATGTATACTAAAAATTTCAAAAAGTTGTCACCATGAAACAAACCACTTGGCATTGAAAACCATGCAACATTATTCCCTTGCCAGAATTATAAACTATATACTTTGTGATCCTTTAAAATACACGTTGCCTAAGTCCTGCTCCACACTCTGATTGACAGGGTAAGCTGCATTCGAGCTATTTTTGAACTGCCATATGAGAAGAGGCCAAGAGTGTAAAATGTCTTTATATGGCCAGCAGAAAGATTGAGTGGCCATGGAAGTCAAGCATGTAACCTAGATAAAAGATCACCGTTCAGAATAAAATACTTTATAGTCTATTGTAATGGCCAGTATAAGCGACAAACGAGTAGGGCATTACTACAAGTCAAACCAGAACTCATCCGGTGTGACACACTAGTCCTGTCTGACTATACAGTATATTAAACACAGCCAAACTCTATGTGCACTATGAGTTATGATTTAGTAAAACAGTTCAACACACACACACACACACACACACACACACACACACACTTTTTTTTGTTCCAAAAAGGGAAGATAGTTTAGTGCAATACTAAATTCTGGGAATATCAGAATTGCCAAGAAAATTATGGCAATTTTAAAAATTACTGTAGCTGTGCCATATGATTGCTTGTTTATGTAAACACACACACACGTTCAATGAAAGATCTGCAAGTATGTTGACACACCATCATAGAAATTGCTGACTTACATGAAAACAAAAATTAGAAAGCCCAATGAACACATGGGTTAATAAAAAGAACCAAACAAATAAAATTGTAGCATGCAAGCTGAATAGTTCAAAGTAAATGTCACACCAAGAAAATAGAACAAATCACTACAATATGGTTAAAAAAAAAAAAAAAAAAAAAAAAGTCACAAGCTGCAACGGTGAAGCAGGAGCCAAAAAGGGCCCTTGGCTACTCATAGCAAAGTCAACACTCCTCAAATAACACAAGTCAAGGCTCCCTCCCAACCCCAAAAAACACAATATCCACTAGGGCTGGAAGGAAAAAAAAAAAAAAAAAAAAAAAAAAAAAAAAAAAGGAGGGACACACAGTTTAGCTGTGAAAACCACTTCATTGCCGTCATTAAAAAGGCACACAAAACCAGGAGCTATAAATTTACACTTTAGAATAAAGAAAATAAAACCAACCAACCAACATACATGCATCTTTAATCACCATTTAGCTTGTTTTCTGAGCCTACTGGTAACACAGTTTAATTCCAAACAGAACTATTCCATTTCTTATCATGAAATTCTTGTCATCAGTTATCTTAACTGTAAACGACCCCTGTCAGATTAGAAAGAGATAGATAACATTGAGTGACACTGGAAATGACTGGTGTGCACAGGGGTCCAACAGGTGCCCTTATACAGGAAAAGACCCCATGATTTCTTAAAAATGGGTGGGAACAGAAACAAGTTTACCCACAGAGAAGACATATGTGAGAGAAAAAAAAAAAAAAAGTTACATTGTAGAAGTTAGTAGTAAGACGTAAAAGTAAAGCAATGTTGCAGCACACGTTCTAGCACTCTGCAGATGGCACTGGCATTTTAACATACCGACGAGAAGGCAGATCCAGTATATTACCTACAAAGCCAGTTTATATTACTTAGACAAACATTTGGAGTTTTTTTGTGTTTTTTTTTTTTCATCATGCTTAAGTGTTTGGTGGCAATAAAAGAAAAAAAACCCCACAGGCCAATAACTTACCCAAAAGGCCTCTGTATAAGTGCTGGATGAATCTGCTGAACCCCAAATGCAAAACCTAGAGAAACCATAAATACATGATTACAGTTATTATATGCACAATTACAGACTACACATTTCTAATTAAGAAAGCCACACTACAGCTGGATTGTAAAACCCCTGAATATATGTAGCCTTTCAGTGGGTGGGGTTTAACGCTTCACGTGTCCCTATGTAAGCCTTCTCCTGTGTTTAGAGCGCGCTCCCAGCAGAGTAACCAGCGAGTACCAAAAAGCTGCCGATGCATACTTGCGATTGGGAGCTTACCAAGCATGCGATTGCTGTGATTAACAGTCACATGATTAGAATGCCCGTCTCCCAGCATTTAGAACCTCTAAGGGTTGGGAGACACTAGCAGGAAGGGGGTTAAAGGGTAATGCCCTTTTAGGCTTCCTTGACTAATCCATCAACTTATAAAACTTACACCAATCAGCCTTAACTCTATGACCACTGACAGTAAAGTAATTACATTGATGATCTTGTTACAATGGCATCTGAAGGTCAGTGGGCAGAAAGTGAACATGCTGTCCCTGAAGTTGATGCGTTGAAAGTTTAAGAATTTGAGTGACTTTGACAAGGGCCAAATTGTATTGGGTTTTTCCGGTCTGTAGTGGTCTGGACCTAGTAAAAAAAAAAAAAAAAAAAAAAAAAAAAAAAAAAAAGTGGTGGATAGGCAACAGGGTCATGAGCAGCCAAGGCACATTGGGAGCAAAGGCTGCCCCATTTAGTCTAATCCAATAGAAGAGCTCCTGTAGCTCAATTTGCTGAAAAAGTTGCTGGTTTCAATAGACAGGCAATAGTGCATTGCAGTTTGCTGTATATGGGGCTGCACATCCAGTCAGGGTGCTCATACTGACCTGTGTCCACAGCCAAAAGCGCCTACAATGGGCATGTGAGCATCAGAATGTGTCTACAGAGTAATGGAAGATGGCCTGGTCTGATGAATCACATTTTCTTTTACATCATGTGGAAGGGTGCTGCCTTTATTTGGATGCCAATTTGACACGTACTGGCTACCTAAACACTGTTGCTGACCAAGTACACCCCTTCATGAAGCCGGTATCCCCTGATGGCAGTGACCTCTTTCAGCAGGATAAGGCTCTCTACCACACTGCAAAAAGGTCCAAGAATGGTTTGAGGAACACAATGAGTTTGAGGTGTTGACTTGGCCTGCAGATCTCAGTCGAGTTAAGCATCTGGAATATGCTGGAAACAACAAGTCCGATCCATAAAGGCCCCACCTTACAATTTACAGGACTTACGGATCAACTACTGAAGACTTGGTGCCAGATACAACATACCTTCAGAGCTCCAGTGGGGTCCATGCCTCAACAGGTAAGGCTGTTTTGAAGCAAAAAGGGGGACCTACTCCATATTAGGTGTGCTGTCAAAGTTATGGCTGATTAATGTATATCAAATGGGATAAGTCCTTACACCATTAGAGGACAAATTAATATGGAATTCAAGATTATGTCCAATTCAGGGGCCAGCTCCATTGACAACTAGAGAAAACCTCAAGATTGGTACCAGCTGTATTTTTTTCTTCTACTTTTAAAAAGGCATAGTTCACCTTTACAGAAAAACTGCCTCTGCAGATAAGGTGTGTCTAGATAAAAACAAACTGCAACTCTGACTAAAATTGAATAATACCCTTGCTATAGGTGTAGTACATTTACATACCTCATGAAGCCTGACTGGGAAAACTCCCAGGACATTGCTAAGTGAGGCCTAGTCATTACTGCTCATCTCCATCACAGGAGTGAGCTCTCAGACGCTGAGCTTAGAGGCACTACATCAGAGGAGAGAGATCATGTGAGGGGGTGTAAATCAGAGAAAACACTCATGCCTGTGATGGGCGTGAGTAGTAATGGATAAGGCCTCACTTAGCAATGCCCAGGAAGTACTTGGCAACTTCCTAGGAGTATTCCAGTCAGGCTTCATCAGGTACGTAAATGGCTTACACCTATAGCAAGGACATTATTCATCTTTAGCCAGAGACACAGTTTGTTTTTATCCACGGACACCCCTTACCTGCATAGGCAGTTCTTTGGTGAAGGTGAACTATCCCTTTAAAGGGAGCATTGGCTACCTGGCTCCTGGTATTTGTCCAGCCCTTCTTTACAATACAAAGTAGTAGTCAGAACTAAAAATTACACAATCCTATTGTAACTTGTGTGGCCAGTTTTAGAGTGGCCAGAAATACATACCTGGCTGCATAATGCGGGGCTTGGCTCCCAGGTATGCAAGATTCACATTAGCTTTCCTCCCATCAATTATTGGATTTGGATCTTTACAAGCCCTTTCTGCAGCAGCTCTGTCAGCCATCGTAACCTATAAACAAAGGATTGCATTACAACACAATAATTATCTTCATTTTGTAAAGCGCTGCGCAAACTTTTGGCGCTATACAAATCCTGTATAACTAAAAAAAAAAAAAAAAAAAACAAACAAACAAACAAAAAAAACAAACAAAAAACAAAAAACACACAACTTCCTCTAAAATGGTAAGTTCTCCCTGATCCTTATAAAGATAGTAATTAGCATTGCCAGGAATTTGGTATAATAAACTGCTTATCTTATGAAGCTTGAATACTTGTTATGGATGGAACTCAAAGAATGACTTTGCCAAAAATGAGTCATATAAGGAAAACGACCTTTCAAGTACACTTGCAGTTTCACTTTTAACATGTCAAAAGTGTTTGCTATCTACAGGCTTTTTATCAAGAGACAGCAGAAACATGACAACCATATGACTTGTATAAACAGCACGGCCTTGCATGTGCACCAAAAAAAGCTGTTATTTGTGAAGTCAGAGCAGCGTTTTTCAGCCTTTTTAAAATGGAAGAACTCTTTACTTTCACAATAACTTTCAAGTCTCAGGGAACCCCTGCTAATAATTATATCTACAGTCTGCTGTACGTTTGCACAAACAGGAGGCTGATATAAAGGATTAAAAGGAAGGAGGAATTTTTGACACCATGAGCTGCTCCATGTCAAATTTACTGTAATATAAAAAAAAATAGCCAGTAGAGAAACAATGAAAAAAATTGACGATCAGCAGAGAAGATGGCCATACATGTAATCGGATTCCTCACAGGAATCAGACAATATAGTTAAATCTGAGTTTTTAAAAAAAAAAAAAAAAAAAAAAAAAAAAAAAAAAGGGATTTAGCAAACCTTATTTCAGGTTTTTTTATTTCAGGTACTTATATAGCGCTGTCAATTTACGCAGCTTTTACATATATATTGTACATTCACATCAGTCCCTAACCCTCAAGGGGCGTACAATCTAAGGTCCCTAACTCACATTCATACACATACTAGGGACAATTTAGACAGGATCCAATTAATCTACCAGCATGTCTTTGGAGTGTGGGAGGAAACCTGAGTACCCGGAGGAAACCCATGCAGGCACAGGGAGAACATGCAAACTCCAGGCAGGAGGTGCCATGGTTGGGATTCGAACCAGCGACCCTAGTACTGCCAGGCGGAAGTGCTAACCTGCAGCAGCTCTTCATCCACTCAGCTTCCATCTTCAGCTTGTTCTGTGGAAGCTTTGAAAATGAAAGACAGAAGCTGATTGGTTACTATGCACAGCCGCTTCTGTTTTCATAATTTCCCATCACTGTGTTGGTGATCGATCTCTCTAAAATTAAGATCGGTGTAGACAGAAAATCTGATCATAGGAAAGCTAGATTGATATGATCATTAAGTGTACGGTATGTCTTTTTTTGATCTTCTGATCACATTTTATGGTGGGACACAAAAGCTGGTTTAGAAGTTGCCAAAGAACTACTTGTATCTCAGGACAAAGAAAACACTACCATGCTATGGAGTGTAAAGCATTTTTTTTTTCCCATGGGTGAACTAGTGCAGGATGTGGCCAGCTTTGGCATACAGCATCTTGCGTCAGTCACTTTGGTCAAAACCATTAGGCTGGCCATACATTAGACAATTTTCTTGTTCAATTACCTTTAAGTAGTGCAAGGGCCTGCCTGATCATATTAAAAGCGGTTAGGTCAGACCTCATGTTATATGATTTTGGTAAATCTGAAGGAAAACTGTACACAAAAATTGTATAATGTAATGGCCAGCCTTAGGAAACAGGCAACAATACCTGCCAAGAGTGAGAACATTAAACCGTGATTCAAGCAGAATCCTCACTCCAATGCTGGAGGGCATAGGCTGGATCTAGGGAGGTTTTTCTACAGGTGCTTCCCTGCTATTGTTGGCTGCATTGACTAAGCTGTAGGTGAAGTGGGTGGGGACATTTTACGTCTGGGCTATTTTCCATATGCACAATTCGTTTCTGTTTGACCTGAGGCTGTTCACAAGACACTTCCACCTGCTTCAATCGCTTTGCAGCCCTACCTGATTTGACATGAAAGATCTGAAAGCCATCACATGACCAGTCTGTGTGCAAGTACAAGGCTGGTGTCCACGCAACTACAGACCGCCACAGCAGCTGATAATGGGCCAACTGGAGGATTTAACCCTTGTGACAACCAGACTTCTTACCCCTTCCAGAACAACAGAGGAGGCAGTCAGAAGCAAACTAGTGTCATTACTGTAGTTACTGAAGTTCTAATAGAAGCAATCACACACATTTACTTCTGAACAGTCTGTTGAGCAAGGCTAAGGACACACGGACAAGGTTTTTGCAGAAATGAAGTGCTGCTCCAAATCGCCAACGCCTGCGATAGACACTGGAAATTTGCAACAGACTAGGTTGCGCTCTGATACAAAATCGCTCTTCTTCAGCGATTAGTGGCCAAGCATAACGACTGCTGTGACAAGTCATAGAAAAGCATCAGAAGCAACTGTTGCTAGAAATTTTGCTGTTCAGCCAAATCACTGATGCATCTTGAACACGGAGCAACAAACGCTTTAAAATGTTCCAGTTAGCGATCCCATAGAAAATTAAGAATTTCTTGGGTGACAAACTACTGTAACAAAATAGGATAATTGCGGCAAGAAAGCCACCTGTGTCATCAGCATAAAGGTGACCATATACTGTATGATCTACCATCAACTATGTAGTACAAGGGACTGCCTGATTGGCTACAGACTGAATGGATTGCTTAGGTCTGACCTCATACTACAAAGTTTTGGTAAATCTAATCTGACTGTATAGTATTCAGCCGGGCAATTTGTTTTTTGTACTGCCGTTATGCTACTAAAAAAATGCCATTAACAGTTAGTGATTGCTACACAGTAGAAATCTGGAGAATTATGCAATCATTAGCGATTAACTAACCCTACTCCCTACACTGTTCCCTGTACACAATGATCAATCAGCCATTAATCGCAGGTGAATGCAGAAGTACAATTGCACTGTGTGGGCCCAGCCAATGAGAACAAACTCACCAGGAGATCAGCAAAGAACTGGACTTAAACAGCTGCCAATAGTGTAAAATTGATCAACAAGAGTTCAATCCTGGGGAGTAAAAACTTAATAAAATGGACCATCAGGCTGGTTATGTTTAACCCTGACCCTGGAAATCCCAATCAATAATGTAACCAGGAATATGAAAGTAATTCTGACCCTGGGAATCCCAATCAATAATGTAACCAGGAATATGAAAGTAATCTTGACCCTGGAAATCCCAATCAATGTAACCAGGAATATGAAAGTAAGATTGACCCTGGGAATCCCAATCAATAATGTAACCAGGAATATGAAAGTAATCCTGACCCTGGAAATCCCAATCAATGTAACCAGGAATATGAAAGCAATCCTGACCCTGGGAATCCCAATCAATAATGTAACCAGGAATATGAAAGTAATCCTGACCCTGGAAATCCCAATCAATAATGTAACCAGGAATATGAAAGTAATCCTGACCCTGGAAATCCCAATCAATGTAACCAGGAATATGAAAGCAATCCTGACCCTGGAAATCCCAATCAATGTAACCAAGAATATGAAAGTAATCCTGACCCTGGAAATCCCAATCAATGTAACCAGGAATATGAAAGTAATCCTGACCCTGGGAATCCCAAGCAATATAACCAGAAATATAAATGTAATCCTGATCCTGGAATCTCAATCAAATATAAAATTGATCACCAGAAATATAGATTTATTCCTGAGAATCCCACTCAGTAATATAACCAGGTATATAGTTTTGACCCTGGGAATCGCAACCAATTATTTATTACAGGTACTTATATAGCGCCATCAATTTATGCAGCGCTTTTACATATATATTGTACATTCACATCAGTCCCTGCCCTCAAGGGGCGTACAATCTAATGTCCCTAACGTGCATTCATAATAGGGCCAATTACACAGGATCCAATTAACCTACCAGCATGTCTTTGGATATTATAAAATGATCCTGAATCCTGAGAATCCCAACATAAAATCAATCATCAGAAATCTAGAATTAAATTTTGAGAATCCCACTCAGTAGTATAAAACTGATCAGCAGGGAAGTAGGTTTATTCCTGGCCCTGAGAACCCCAATTAATAATATAAATAGGAACATAAAGTTTGACCCCCAAGAATCTTGATATCTCTCTCTCTATCCCAAACAAGAATATAGAATGGATTACCAGAAATATGTTTAATCCTGGGAATCCCAATCAGTAATATAAAGTTAATCACTAGGTTTATTCCTGGCTCTGGGAATCCCAATCAATACTATAACCAGGAAATCAGGTTTGATCCTGGAAATCTAGAACTAGGAATTTAGGTTTTACCCTGGGAATCATGATCAATAATGTACACTGATCTCTAGAAATATAGGTTTGATGTTGGAAATCCCAATCACAGTATAAAACAAGTGACCAGAAAGGTATATTTTTTTTTTCCTGGCCCTTGAAATCTGCTATATAAAAATAGATCACCGGGAAGGCAGGTTTATTCCTCACCCAATCAATAAAATAGGTTTGCCCCTGGAAATCGTGGTCAATAATATAAATTGATCACCTGAGATATAGGTTTGATTCTAGGAATCCCAAACACCAATATAAAATTGATCACCAGGAAGGTATGTTTGTTTATTCCTGGCCCTGGGAATCCTAATCAACAATAGGACTAGGAATATAGGTTTACCCCAGGAAATTAAGATCAATAATATAAAATTGAGCACTGGGAAGGTATGTTTATTCTTGGCCCAGGTAACCTCAATAATATAAAAAAATCGGTCACCAGAAAAGGGCGCGATTATTCCTGAAAATCCCAATAATATAAAAATCGGTCACCAGGAAAGGGCGAGATTATTCCTGAAAATCCCAATAATATAAAAATCTGTCACCAGGAAAGGGCGCGATTATTCCTGAAAATCCCAATAATATAAAAATCGGTCACCAGGAAGGCGCATTTACTCCTGAAAATCCCAATAATATAAAAATCAGTCACCAGGAAGACATGTTTATTCCTGGCCTGGAAATCCCAATAATATAAAATTGGTCACCAGGAAGACATGTTTATTCCTGGCCCTGGAAATCCCAATCAATAATAGAACTAGGAATATAGGTTTGATCTTGGAATCATAGCCAATAATAACAATCGATCACCCGAGATCTAGGTTCGATGCTAGGAATCCCAGTCAATAATCTAGAAGTGATGATCAGGAAGGCAGTCGTTCACCCCATGCTGTGCTCTCCTACCCATTGATCGTGGCTGTGGCTCAGCAACCAATGGGTGAAGAGCCCTGAGCCCAGGTGAGCAGTGGCCATCCCTGTAGCACAGCCGGGGCAGCCTCTTGTACGGAGGGTCCCCCTGAACTTACAAAGCCATATCCCCGGGATTTGCCGGTCTGCCGGTCAGTGATGACTACCGCCTCCTCGATGTCCCCGAACACCTCGAAGTACTTCCTGAGGCTGGAGTCGGTGGTGTGGTAGGGCAGCCCCCCTACGAAGATCTTGGTGTAGGTGGTGTCCTTCTGGGTGGTGTGCATCTTCGGGGCTCTCGCCGTCTCTCTCTCTCTCTGCACACACCTTCCCTGGGCTCAGGAGCCGCTCACACTCATGCACCGGCAGCCGAGGAGCACGGCGACGCTTCGTTCCCTTTGTGCGGGTTAGTCTATGAGGTAGTGGTGAGGGCGGCCGGAGGGGCTCGGCAGGGTGTCCCGCACTCCCGGCTTGCTGCGAGCCTCTCACGCTGAACTAACACCAGCACACTGACTGGCCCGCTCCCTCTTCCCTGTGCGTTATGAGCGGCCGGCCAGGCTGGAGGCTCCTCCCCTGCAAGGGGGGGTGGAGGTGCCCCGCTGCCGCCCATTGGCTGCCCTTGCACCTGCTGCATGTTTCCCCGGGCGGGCAGCTGCTCACAACAGCTGGATAGATGTGAGCCGGGCCCCCCTTTGTCTCCGGGGAGGGGGGAGGGGGATCTGGTTACCCGCAGAGCGTGTGCCCTACAGCCGCTCACCTCCCACGGAGGCTTCTTGTACGAGGGCTGGCACCGGGGCACACGGCCCGCTAGAGGGAAGTACACAGCGACCAGCAATCCCAAACTTTCCGGGGTCATACAAGGAGCCTCAGGACAGACGACCTGGTGTGGGAGAGGGCTGATATCCGTGTGGCGGAGGGGGGGACACTGGCCATACACACTTCAATTTAACTATCAGATCCAATTGGCAATCAGATTTTAATTTATTTCAGGTACTTATATAGCGCCGTCAATTTACGCTTTACATATATATTGTACGTTCACATCAGTCTTAACTTTCTTTCCCATCAGATTCCTTCAGTTGATTAGCCAGGGTGCAAAATGATCTACCGTTTTGCATGATTGGCCGCACTGAGATGCTTTTTCTATCAATTTATGAGATTGGATGGTGAGAACAGAGATGTGGTCGATAATCTGAGATTGTAGCTTTCAAGTATCGATCGAAATCCACTTCCCCGTCCATGGCCGATCAATTGTGTTATTGGTAGTGATGCACCAAAATGAAAATTCTGGTGCCAAAAACGAAAATGCACTTGGCCGGAAACCAAAACCGAAATGCACAGTTTTTAAAACTTTTTGGAAAAAAATACACTGATTAAAAAAAATATATATACCCCAATTGTTTTGTAAAATATGAAAGAGGATGTTACAGCGAGTAAATAGATACCCAACATGTCACGCTTTAAAACTGCGCACGCTTGTGGAATAGCGTGCAACTGCGGTACTTAAAAATCTCCATGGGTGATGCTTTAAAAATGTCTACAGGTTAGCAGTGTAAAGTTACAGAGGAGATCTAGTGCGAGAATTATTGCTCTTGCTCCGACGTTAGTGGTGATACCTCACATGTGTGGTTTGAACACCGTTTACATATGTGGGCATGGCCTACGTATACGTTCACCACTATGTGCGAGCACGGGGGGACGGGGCACTTTAAACTTTTTTTTAATTTAATTAATGATTTTTATTTTTTTTGTTTTTTTCTCTTTTTCCAATGTTCCTTTAAAAAATGTTTTAATAACATTTATTCTCATCACAAGAAATGCATGCATCCCTTGTGATAGAAATGATTAGTGACAGGTCCTCTTTATGGAGAGATATGGGGTCAATTATACCCCACATCTCTCCTCTGCAATGTAAAGCATTAGATCAAAAAAAAGCATTGCTCTAGTGCTTTAAAAAAATAAAATGTCCAGAACGGGAAGTGACATCGCTCCAGTCCTTCAAGGGCATAAAGATGAGTGGAGGCCAGCTTTCCTTAACTCATCTCTATGCCCAACGCCGGGATCGATGGTTTCTCAGGTAAGGCTGAGAACTGGCGGCGGCAAGGTTTTTTTCAGCACTTGTATCAGTGCTTTTTTTCATTTCGGCCAACGGCCGAAAGGGGTTTTCAGACGAAAAGTTTTGGCCACCAAAATTTCGGTGCATCCCTAGTTATTGGTTATAGATTGATTATTCTTATCGGGAGAGATTGATCAGAAAGGAAATCTATTATTTATTGAAGCGTGTATGACCACCGTTTGCATTGCTGGGAGATTGTTTCTCATGGCTTGTTCACACGATGAGAAAATTGGAAGAAAAAAAACGCTTTCTGATAATCTGATCGTTAGTACTCTGCTGTCGAGGGCTGGTCATGACAGTTCATGCGAAAATATCCAAAGGGACAGGCACCAAAATGTTCTCGTACAATCACAGAAAGAACGATTTTCGGTTAACCACTTAAGGACCAGCAACATGCAATGTACTGCGCACAGGTGACCTGTGCAGCCAAAGCGACATACTGGTACATCACTGCTTACTTTTAGTTTTAGGGCATCTCACGCGTGCCCCCCACCCCCCACCACACCAGGACCTGCTGTGATTGTACACAGTGGGAGTCTGTCAGCAAGTCTTGGCCAATGATTCATGGCCAGGACCTGCTGATTGGCTGTGTACAATCACAGCCCAGAGCCTTGTGTTGACAATCAACACAGAGCTCTGTACAGAGAGATCTATCTCTCTGTTTCTTATCTCTGCAAAGCAGGGAGAAGAAACAAAGAGATCTGTTAGTAAAAGCAGCATATAATGCACACATTACACATTGTTAGGCACAAATTTAACCTCTTGAGCGCCGTAGATGTTAACCCCTTCCCAGCCAGTGGCATTAGTACAGAGACAGTGTAGTGTCAGATTGCTAGTTGCGGTGTTGCAGTCCCATTATACAGTGCCTTGAAAATGTATTCATACCCCCTGAAATTTTCCACATTTTGTCATGTTACAACCAAAAATGTAAATGTTTTTTAATGTGATTTTATGTGATAGACCAACACAAAGTGGCACATACTTGTGAAGTGGAAGGAAAATGATAAATGGTTTTCAAATTTTTTTCAAAAAAACATCTGAAAAGTGTGGCATGCATTTGTATTCAGCCCTGTTTACTCTGATACCCCTAACTAAAATCTAGGTGAACCAATTGCCTGCAGAAGTCACCTAATTAGTAAATAGAGTCCACCTGTGTGTAAGGTAATCTCAGTATAAATACAGCTGTTCTGTGAAGCCCTTAGAGGTTTGTTAGAGAACATTAGTCAACAAACAGCATCATAAAGACCAAGGAACACACCAGACAGGTCAGGGATAAAGTTGTGGAGAAGTTTAAAGCAGGGTTAGGTTATTAAAATATCCCAAGCGTTGAACATCTCACAGAGCACTGTTCAATCCATCATCAGAAGCTGGAAATCATCCAAAAATGGTAAGAGTATGTAACAACTGCTAACCTACCAAGACATGGCCTTCCACCTAAACTGACAGGCCAGGCAAGGAGAGCGTTAATCAGAGAAGCAGCCAAGAGGTCCATGGTAACTCTGGAGGAGCTGCAGAGATCCACAGCTCAGGTGGGAAAACCTGTAAACAGGACAACTATTGTCATGCACTCCACAAATCTGGTCTTTATCGAGGTGTGGGAAGAAGAAAGCCATTGTTGAAAGGAAGCCATAAGAAGTCCCATTTGCAGTTTGCAAGAAGCCATGGGGGGGACACAGCAAACATGTGGAAGAAGGTGCTCTGATCAGATGAGACCAAAATTGAACTTTTTGGCCTAAAAACAAAATGCAATGTGTGGCAGAAAACTAACACTGCACATCACCCTGAAGACACCACCCCCACCGTGAAACATAGTGGTGGCAGCATCATGTTGCAGGGATGCTTTTCTTCAGCAGGGACAGGGAAGCTGGTCAGAGTTGATGGGAAGATGGATGGAGCCAAATACAGAGCAATCTTAGAAGAAAACCTGTTAGAGTCTGCAAAAGACTTGAGACTGGGGCGGAGGTTCACCTTCCAGCAGGACAACGACCTAAACATACAGCCAGAGCTACAATGGAATGGGTTAGATCAAAGCATATTCATGTGTTAGAATGGCCAATTGACAATCTGTGGCAAGACTTTTTGCTGTTCACAGACACTCTCCATCCAATCTGACAGAGCTTGAGCTATTTTGCAAAGAAGAATGGGCAAACATTTAGCTCTCTAGATGTGCAAAACTGGTAGAGACATACCCAAAAAGACTTGCAGCTGTAATTGCAGTGAAAGGTGGTACTACAAAGTATTGATTTGGAGGGGGGCTGAATGCAAATGCACGCCACACTTGTCACATATTTATTTGTAAAAAATTTTGAAAACCATTTATCATTTTCCTTCCATTTCACAATTATGTGCCACTTTGTGTCGGTTTATCACATAAAATCCCAATAAAATACATTTACGTTTTTGGTTGTAACGTGACAAAATGTGGAAAATTTCATGGGGTATGAATACATTTTCATCCCTGGCCATGCGGGATCTCCTGGTAGGGGTTGGGGAAAGACCTGGCAACCTACCCTGTAAAATAATTGCTAAGAGAATTCATGGAAAAAGTCACTTACAAGTGACGGTCCATGCAATCGCCAAGGGTCGGATATGACTGAATGGATAGATAGATGAATACATTTTCAAGGCACTGTAAATCACTGATCACCACCATTTGTAGTATAAAAAAAAAAAAAATCCGAATATACAGTGGGTATATAAGTATTGAACACATCACCATTTTTCGCAGTAAATATAATTCTAAAGGTGCTATTGACATGAAATTTTCACCATATGTCAATAACAACCCATGCAATCTATACATACAAATAAACCAAAACAAATAAGTTCAGAAATTAAGTCATGTGGAATGACACAGGGAAAAAGTATTGAACACATGAAGAAAGGGGTGGGGGGCAAAAAGGCATGGAAAGCCAATACACCAGCTGAAATCTACCAGTGATTAGAATCCTGCCCCTTGTTAGTGCAAATTTTATCAGCTGGGTCAGTCTCATTACCAAGGTGTGACACAAGAAACATCTCATGATAACAGCAAAGAGCTCTCTCAAGACCTTTGCAACCTTATTGTTGCAAAATGTACTGATAGCTTTGGTTACAGAAGTATTTCTAGAATTCCTGAATGTTCCAGCGAGCACTGTTGGGGCCGTAATCCGGAAGTGGAAAGAAAATCAT